AAAAAAGAAAAGCTTACATATGGGTGATCCAAAAATATAGCTAAATCACTGGAAAAGGCAAGAAGTTGACTGCAATAAAAAGCATGACTTTTCTGTATGCTGTGCGAAGTACTTTCCATACATTACAGGACTGGTCCTACTGACTTAATGAGTACGTACATTTTGACTTGTTATGTGGAAAAGGAAACAGATTCTTAGGCATGTGAAGTGCTTTGCCTGTGTTTCTGTAACTGCTAACTAGAGAGCTGGGTTTCAAACTTATGCAGTCTGATTTCAGAGCCCAGCTTGTAACCACCAAGATCTGTTTCTTTCCTAGGTATAAGTGCTTTCATTGAGAACTGAAGGAAGAAGGAAATAGGAGTTACCTCCATTGTGCATGTTGCAAAACCTGTCTGGAAGGAGCATAGGAAATGGCTTTAGCTAAGCGCCTGACTCCAGTAGTTTCTTGCTGTTGCCACAGTTTTATTAGTATTGGTTCTTAATGTCATCTACTGATGTTGCTATAAAGCAGCCACACAGTAGCATTGCAAAGCCTGTGGGAATTTTAGTAGCACCTTCATAAATATATTTAGTAGTATATGTAGAAATATGACCTAAACAGCATTGGCTATCTACTAGATTCACCTGGGGAGCTTTAAAACACATGCTGGGGTTCTACCTGCAGCCTACTGAATTAGAATCTCTGGGTGGGATGACCATCTATGTTTTTAGTAAAAGCTCCACAAGTTATTTCTGATGCAAGAAGATAGACGAACCATTACTTTAACATGACTCACCTTGTATTAGCTTATTCTCAAAGCTACTTTCCTGTTCTTGAAATTAGATGATGGCTTTTTAGGTATGTGCCAGAGATAAATGGCCCAGAATATGTTGATTCTTTTAGGTTCTTTTAGGCAGACTTTAAGTAGAGGGCTTAAATGCAGGTTTGGTTATACCGATGCTTCACTATCTTTTTTAATTGGAGAGAGTGAAAATTGCTAAAAATTCACTGTCCAATAGAAATTTATAAACCCATATGTAATATAAACTTTTCTACTAACCACATTAAAAAGATAGGAATGGTAAAATAAATTTTAATAATTATTTTTAGTACATCTAATTTAATCCAATATATATAAGATACTATCAGTATGAATTTTGTATAAAAATTGTTAATGAGACCGGGCACAGTGGCTCCCACCTGTAATCCTAGCACTTTTGAGTGGCTGAGGCAGGTGGATCAGTTGAGCCCAGGAGTCTGAGACCAGCCTGGGCAACACAGTGAAACCCCATCTCTACTAAAAATAGGCAAGCATAGTGGTATGTGTCTGTAGTCCCTGCTACTTGGGAGGCTGAGGTGGGAGGATCACTGAAGCCTGGGAGGTGGGGGTTGCAGTAAGCCGAGATTGTGCCACTCCACTCCAGCCTGGGCGACACAGACCATGTCTCAAAAAAAAAAAAAAAAAAAAAAAATTATTAATGAGATATTTCATATTCTTATTTGGAAGTCTTTGAAATCTGGCATGCATTTAATACAGCACATCTGAATTCAGACTCACCACATTTTAAGTGCTCAGTAAGTACAAGTGGCTACTGTTTGAATAGTGCATATTTTGAAGCTCTGATTTTGGGTTGAGTTGAAGCTTTTTTCTTTCTATGTATGCCCTTCACAGCCCCCAATTTTTCAACTTCAATTGCAAGAGGCCTCTTGCAAGAAGGAGTAGTAATTAACTCTTGATGGCCTAACTGAGGTCATTCTGCATTTTTTGGAAATAAGGTTCTAGATACTGATTACTCTAGTTTCTTAAACATCATTTTAACAAGTGTGTTTGACTTTCTAAACCTGACATTGAGAACTGGATTTTCTCCACCCTGAGAAATAAGGTCCTAAGGAAGTTAGAGCCTAAATGGTATGGTAAGGTAGAGGTGGTGGTTGCTTTCAGAGTCCTGTCCTTGAAGGACTAGCAAATGAGAACATGGATATATTCTAAAGTTGACTTTTTCTAGGCTACTGGAGAAGTGGCAAGAATGGAATCTTTAAGTGCAACGATTAACAAGTTAGAATGTCAAAGACTTGGGTGCCCTGGTAAAATGTAATGTTCTGTATAAAAACAAAGTGTACAAAAACACACAGCCTTTGTGATGGCTGCTGTATAGTGATACTTGGAGTTTAAATCCTGTACCAATTTTCAAATCTTAATAGCTGCTTTGCCATGCGTAAAATTAGTTTTCAGTATGTAAGAATATGAGAGACTAGAATAGTGTATTATTGTCATATCATAAGGGTTTTATAATTTGTCAGGTTATTTTATGTATCTTTCTTTTTGCTTCAGGACAATCACATGCTAGTGGCATATAAGATTATTTCTCAGCTGGCTGCAGTAGCTCACGCCTGTAATCCCAGCACTTTGGGAGGCTGAGGTGGGAGAATTGCTTGAGCCCAGGAGTGAGAGACCAGCCTGAGCAACATAGTGAAATCCCATCTGTACAAAAATAATAATAATAAATTTAGCCAGTTATGGTGATGCACACCTGTAGTCCCAGCTACTCAGTAGGCTGAGGGAGGGAGTTCCTTGAACTTGGAGTCAAGGCTCTGCAGTGAGCTGTGATGGTGCCACTACACTCCAGCCTGGATGACAGTGAGACCCTCTCTCAAAAAAAAAAAAGATTATTTTTCTGTCCTAGAGATGAGGCTGAAGTTCCCAATGCGGATGATTTTTGCCTGAGCTAACAGCATTAATAGACGAGCAAGGACTTCTTTGGTCTGTTGGCTGTTGTCTATAGGGGGTGATAGTGCTCAGTGTTAATGTGATGTCAGAAGGCCATCATATTAAAATTTAGCACAATAGGAACAACTGATCACTCTCTTGAAGTCCGGAACTCTTAGAACAGATGGTCTGTTTTCCTGTAGTAATGCTTACACCATGTCTTTCCACTCATAGCTCCCACTCACTGCCCCTTACCCCACCCCAGCCTCCAGTTGTCAAAATTCAAAGCTGTAAAGGGAAGAAGTTCGTGAAAATTTAATTAAAAGTTAACATTGAAAAGAGGTGACAATTATAAAAGTTTTCTGACATTAATGTATGGTCTTTTGAATTGCTAATAAGAATGATTAACAATTGCTTTCTATTAGATGTGGCATTTGGAGCAAATAAACACAGTTTGGGGATGATGAGAGTCTGCATTTCTTGACTTGACTTTTAGCTTAAGTTTGCAGTTAAATTTGGTTGCATTAGGTGTTGTTTTCACTGAATTATTTCATTGAACGTAGCTTGCAAAGTCTTTTGAAATGTTGACTGCATCCCTGTTTCTGTAAGATTGAAGATACCAGTAACAGGAATAAATACATCTTTAAGGTTGATAGTCCCTGCTGTTTTAGGCCAATGTGAAATTATGCTTTTCTTATAATTTTTATGACTGCTCTTTCATATAGACAGATAAATATGCCTTGATATGTCTTTCTCAATTGTCTTAAATGTTATTTTGAAAATCCTGAATGGCAAGTTTTTTGGAGTGGTTTAATAACATAGGGCTAATCAAAATGGTGAATATATTACTTTGAGTTCTGGATCTCTTTGTAATGCAGTTAACATACTAACTTTGAATTTATCATTTTATTTTAGTAAAGCCAGCATGAGAATCTTAAATCAGTAGTTATCTATGTAAATTAAGCCTTGACCTTCTTCATTCCATTATTTATAGTAGGTTCAAATGAACGTAAAACTTGCCCTTTATTTGCTTGAATTTCAGAACAGCCACTTGATACTGTTTTAAGAAAACTTAAAAAATCCCAATACTTTCCAGTGAAGTCATTCTTTTTTTTTAAATAGCTAGAATATCCTAATTCAGTTTAATTATGAGCCAAATTGGTATGAAGATGAATAAGATAGGTTTTCTACCCTGAGAAGTGGGGAGACAAAGACATAAAACAGGTAATTGTAATATAATTGGTATGTATAAAGATACGCTGTACTAGACTCTTAGAAGAAATTCACCTAACTTCACCTTCAGGTGAGGCTTCCTAAAGTGAATCACAACAGATAAGTAAGAGTGAGCTATACCAATGTTTTCCAACTGGGTAGTTACCTCTTAGTGGGCCATGAAGTCAATTTAGTGGTCATGACCTGTATTTAAAAAAAAGAAAGAATAGAATAGATTGCATGATATGAAGGGCAGATTTTCTTTTATGATACTTTTGTTTGCCATGTAGACATACAAATTTCAGTGACTGCTATGTGAATGTCTTAGCGTGGGTTATGGGCCAAGAAGTGTGACAGCCAGCCACTGAGCTAGCGTAAATTGGGGAGGTATTTCATCGAAGTGACTCACACAAGCAAAATTATGGAGGAAAACTACGGGGAGAGTTTGGTGCAGACAGCTGGTGCAGGCAAAGTGTGATGCAAAGTTTAGCAAGAGATGAGACAAATAGGTCGTGGAAGCCTTTGGATATAGCACTGAGGAATTTGGGTACTGTGTTGTGGGTAGTTAAAAGGAGCAGTTAATGCATAGCATAATTCACCTGGTGTTTTGGGTACTGTGTTGTGAGTAGTTAGGACGAGCAGTTAATGCATAGCATAATTAACCTAGTGTTTTAGATCCCCAAGTCTGGATGGTGGAGGCTGGATTTAAGGGACGCGACGTGGTCCTGGAAGTGGGCCTTGATGGCAAGTGTGGCATTAGGGGAATATGAGCACTTCTTCTTGGGGAGAGCTCGTGGAAAAGATATCCTTAATTAAGTTAAGAGGGTAGAGGGAGGGAGCATTTGTTTTTTGTTTTTTTGTGTTTTTATTATTATAAGTTCTAGGGTACATGTGCACAACATGCAGATTTGTTACATTTCCTAATGCTATCCCTCCCCACTCCCGTCTACCCACAATAGGCCCCGTTGTGTGATGTTCCCCTTCCTGTGTCCAAGTGATCTCATTGTTCAATTCCCACCTATGAGTGAGAACATGTGGTGTTTGGTTTTCTGTT